TTAAAAATATATATAATGAATTATAATTAAGTTAGTTTAGGAACACATGGTAATGCCCTGTGGCTAACTGCGTGGTTTGACTGTGGCTAATAGGGTTCCAGAACCGGGAAATGCCGGTCTCGAAAGTACTGGGATAATATATTCAAATTCCTAGTATTTTCGGGACTCAGTAATAATAATTAAAAAAATTTGTTATACTTATGATGCTTTATAGCGGTCGAAATTAAACTCTTCTAAATAAGTAATGTTACTTCTCTTTTAAAGTTGCTATAATGATTATTAACGATTATTGAAATTTAAATATCATATTTTTATATTTAGTACAACATTATTCTCAAATTTCATTAAACTCAATGTATTAGTTATATTTCATGTTATGTTTTTATAAGGGCATTTGCGTTTTTAATTCAAAAATGTAAGGCTTTTCTCAATTTATTTAATTTGGTTTATGCTGTTTGATGTGAGTTTTAAGTTACTTTTTTGCTTAACTTGCTACATAGTTTTTTCTTCGCTTGGTTCATGTTAATTTTCTGTTGACTGTTTACTTAATAATTTAATATTAGTTTCATAATAAAACTCTTTATATGGATTTTACTTTTAAAGCCATGCCTTTCTTGCCCCCTGATTGACAAACTGCACCGTACTTCATAAAAATTAATTAGTGCTTCTGGCGTTAGTCTTAATTTTTTATATAAAAAAACAGATTAATATATGACAACCAACTGTCGCTCATTTAATAACAATTTGTCCATCACTATTGTCATAAATCTCTACAAAAACACAAATTACTTTAACAACTTGTTAATATTAAACACACTAAAATGCATAAAGGTTCTATTTAAGTTTTCAGATAATATGGTAATTGAGATATTATTCTGTCAATCAAGTTATATCGATAATATATCCCCTACGTTTAATCAATGGCTAGATGGCGATAGTGTCTGCTATTTATCGATAAATATATCAATCACGAATACGTAGCGGAGCCGTCACGACGGCCAACCTAACGAATATAAAAGGGCCCGAGGGATGAAATATGGAAAATTGTTTGTGGAAAGGGTCTGACGATGCAGCCTGCTACCGGAAGAAAGCCTTAGCGTCAAATCGAGGCAATATATCACGAAAATATATATAATAAGCAGGGTTTTTAATATAAAAATGTTTGATAGAAAATATTTAGCAAAATGCAGGTGATGAGGAATGTGTAGTTTAATAGAAAAGGATGGGCATTTTTGAGAGTAACTTTTCAATATTATTTTAATATTATACAGGATGTAGAAATTAAATAATCTTGCAACTATTTCCAGGGCTAGTAGATCCGAGTTTTTCAAATAAGTCCAAGTGCTTATTTCAAAGTTATGTTAGAGTTGTTGACTTTGAAAATAAAAAAATGATTTTTGATAACTATGGATGGGTTTAAATATAAATCCGTCATGCATCGTCTCTTGTTGTTTTTAACCAGTTTTATTGGTTTATTTCAAAAATGACAGAGCGTATTTCAATTTATTGGTTTGACGGAACGACGAACGACAAACGGATACCGATGCGTATATGAACTCGCCTTTAGATTTTGACGCTCGTCAAAGTCTTGCCAAATTATAGGTTATAATTTTGTGTCAACTTTTGTCAAATACCCTGCGTTTTGGAAGATGATGCATTTGATTCGTTACATTCGTTTGTGGTAAAAGTCATCACACGAGTCCCATAACACTAATATAACACCACTAATAAAACACAAATTAAAATAACAGGTATTTACGCAATACTTCCCGAAATAAAATTAATTAAATTCAAAAACTTATCGTTAAAAACCATCAAGAAAAACTAAAAGCGACGTTTTTCTTTGTCAAATGATTTTTTCCCAGACGTCATGGAGATCTGTCAGTCACGGCCAACTTATCAAAATTTCGCAAGCGTCGCGCTTCGCGCAGGGGAAGAAAAGTACTAAAGCCGGTTCCAGACTACTATAAATGTACAGATGCTTGATTTACAATATCAAAATAATTTATTTTTGAGATTAATGTTGTTTAATGCTTTGAATAGCTTTAGATAAATGTTATGTTATCCAAAATGGGAAAATGGGGAAAATTGTTTTATAAATAATATATTTAAGTAATTTTTATATCAAAATATGTGTTAAGGTAAAATCAATAACTAATAATTATAAATTAATTGTGAAAATATTAAAAAGGGAATCAAATACATTATTTTAACACGCCTTATTTCAACTGTTTGAACTTTCTAAATCAAAATATCAACACTTAATTCAAACAAAGCTCACGTACTCATATCTTAACTAATTATAACTCCTCCCGTGTATACCACATGAAATAATCCAGCTACAGATTAAAATCCATTAAATTAATAGCATTTGTATGTAGCAACTTAGTACCAACACCAAGCATCCTTCAAATGGAAATTGTTTCACATTAATTTAAAATGTAGCTGTTGACAGGATTAGTAAAATTTTTCATTTATGTTTAAAAACTGTAAATATTAACAAACTATACTCCAAAGCTTATTTAATGAAATATTGAAATTTATTTAAATGTATTAATGATTTGAGAATTATTGTAATTATAAAATAGGCTTTTCTATAAAATGTATTTATGATCATAGTTTCATCATCCTTTTGATCGTGAATTCATTACACATGCCATTGATTTCGATCTGATATTTGATTCTCTATCTTTTAGACATCCTAAATTTAAATATCACTAGTATTTACCTTCATCTCGTAAAAGGTGCATTCACACGACTCGTCTACTTGGCAAGAATTTTTTATTGGCCTACAGGGTCTGGCGAGAATACGGCGTATATGGTCCTATAATAAATAATTTAGAAATTCTGTATAAATGCCCGACGCACCATGTATACCCTGTATACCAATTACGAATGTTTGTCAAGTACACGAGTCGTGAGAACGCGTCATAAGTTATTTCGCCGGACTCGTGTGCTTGGCAAACATATGTTATTGTTATACAAGTCCAGCATGATACGTCGTGCATCTATAGTTTCTATAATAAACAATTTAGATATTTGTATAAGTGCAAACCTAAAGTATGTATTAGGATGTATTTCAGGAGAATATTGTAACTTCTACATTTAAAAAATGTGTGAGTGGATTGGGATGATTTTTTTAAATGGAATACACCACTTATTTTTGCATTTGTAGCTTCTTTCTGATCACTTTATAATATGGTCTAGGTATCATTAAGATATATGTTTTGATAGTTTCAGAGATATTAATGAATATACAAAAATATATTTTTCAGCCTCTCTTAAAAATACAAAATGTCCTGAAATAAAAACTATACATTACATACTATACGTTACATATTTTAAGTTTGCACTTATACGAAATTTCTCAGTTGTTTATTTTAGGAACTGCAGATACCTGACACACTATTGCGGACCCTGTATATCAATTAAGGCGGATTCTGACAACTCGTGTACTTGTACAAACACTTGGTATTGGGATATACTTCCCATGTGGTGTGAGTGGTTCCTTGTGCAATTACTTGTCACTCAAAATTTAAAAAAAAATGTTGTTTACAAAGATAGTATACTTGCCATGTACGCAAATATTGGCGTACTTGTCAACTACAAACATTTGTTATGGCGCATTTTTCACCACTCGTGTATGACGACAAACATTTGTAATTGGTAGACAGGGTATACGTGGTGCGTCGGACATCATTATCTGCAGAATATATAGCTTTTCACACCACATTCTCGCCAGACCCTGTATGTCAATAAAAATACTTTTAAGTACAGGAGTCGTGTGAATGCGTCTTTATTGGGATATACTTGCCATGTGGTGTGAGTGTGTGTGTCACTATGTCACACACACGCGCGAGCTTCAACGATGTTATTAACAAAGACAGTATACTTGCCAAGTACGAAAATATTGGCGTACTTGCCAAGGATCCGAGTCGTCAAGAATTTTCCAGATGAACAAACCGTCTTGAGGAGCGTCCGCGTGTTTTCAAGATAGCCGTCAGACGAACTCCGTCGGACGCGCCCATGTGAAATTTTTCATATAAACTCATGGTACTTGCTCTAAGTTGGGTACGCTCCGTTGAGTTTTTTCAAGATAGCCGTCGGACGAACCCCGTCGGGCGGAGCATACGCGACCATGTGAAATTGCTCCTAAAAACCCATGGTACTTGCTCGAAGGCGCGGACGCTCCTTCGCGGACGGTCCGCTCCATTTGAAAGCGCTTTTAGTGGCGCTTATGCGGCGCGGCGCGTCGAGTAACAAATGATTGCAGAAGTAAACCGCTTACACGACATGGCAAGTATATACCAATAACAAATGTTTGTACAAATACACAAGTCGTGAGTCCGCCGTTTGTCAAGTATACGAGTCGTCAGAAGGTCTGTTCCCAAAGAATTCCTGACTAGTCAGCGCGTTTCTCATTAGTTAAAATGCATAGAAACCTGATTGTTGTCTGGTTTCTACACGACCAATAAAACGCTGACTATCGAGAGACTTCTTCAGGAGGCTGAAACCCAGAAACTTTACAATAATGTTCGAAAAAGAGGCGCCTTTGAATACACAAATAAAAAACACATACACATTCGTAATATTATACTCTATCACTTGTTTAATTTTAAATATTTAATTTTATTTAAAACCTTTGCTATATAAATAGAAAATCCTTTCAAAATTTACATAGACAATATTGTATGTTGATTCATGCACTCCAATATACCAAGATTGTTATTTAAATTTATTATCTACCTGTACTCGGTGTTTTTATCAGACATAAAAACGTCCAAAGATAACCGTTGGCTCTTATCAGAATGCCTACCTCGTTGTACTATAGTTTTTTAAAATACGTATTACTTTACCATGTGTAAAATATACCTATCGTTTATAAAACTGTAGAGGTAAATATTCAAGTATGAAATAGTAGTGATTTTTGAATGAGATTTATTGTTGTTTTTATGTTGGTTTGTTTTCTTTTTTATTCTCAAAACCTGATGGAATTACCGTTTTTGTGAACGGCAAAAAAAGTAAACAATTCGAGCGTGTGAGTGAACTGTTGTTGATAATAAACCCCGTTGAATGGAAAAATGCCTCAGTTTACAACGCGAATTTTGATCGAGTACAAGCCACAGATTTCAAGAGAAGAAAATGGTGTGGAATATAACTGTCAAGGTACCTATGTTTTGACTTTAAGTGCATGATAAAGAGATTATAAACTTTATATGGATTAAGCTTGGGAGGATAACAAATCTGAAAGTAAAAAATCTTTGTTAATATTAAAAATTGACTTATAATACTATTAAGGTTTGGTTTGGTTTGGCCTACCCCTCAAACAAATATTTTCCTAGATATTTTCATTTACACTACATGATTTGAACTGAGTAGATCTTTATTATTTGATAAAATCTAGGTGGCTGTGATATGTCTGAAGTTACTTCAACATAGCTGTCTAATTAGTCCAACTTTAACAACTAGTTATCATTTTGTGTCAGTTAAAACAAAAAAATTTCTCAGAAATTTGCCGAAAATGCAAACTTATCCTACATCAGAGAGTATTGATATGATTCTATTAGTTATATAGAATTCTATTAGTTATATAGAATATAGTTATTAATAGAATACTTAAATGGGGCTCCTGATTTTATCTAGTCTGGGTTCTTTTAATAGAGATATGTTAAAGACAGTGTACAGTGTTTACAAAACTCGACCAACTAGTGTCGACTATATGAGAAAAATTATTGTGGCTGCTTTTCGAGATAGAACTCCACATAAAATGCCTTTTAAAATGAAAAGATCCTTTTGATAAGATAATCATTTTATGCAGTTAACAGGAAAGGCAGCATTTTGAAGAGTGATTTCATCTAGCTATTTTTTGTCGCATAATTATAGGTTTATGTCTAGTTTTAATTCTGTAATAATTAAAATATGTTTTTAAACATGTATCTTTTATTACCCTGAGTATTTTACTCTACAATCTTTTGTTAAATTAACAAGTATATCACACAGCCACCTGATTTTTCAAATAATAAAGATTTACTTACTGACGCGAAATCATAAAAATTAAAATATCTGAGAAAATCTTTGTCGGAGGGGTAGGCAACCTTAATAATATTTTTTGAAAGTCCTGGTCCTGGATAAAGTATAGTATTCTATTCGCATATAATCGCCTGCGGCTCGTGTAATAAACTTCATCCGCGTGAATAATAGCCACCATTATATGCTCGTTGAATAATATACTATTATATGATGATATATAATATTGTGGAGATCATATATTAGATCATATTTATAGTAAATAAAGTACACCAAAAATATACTGTAGACTAGTCTCAATTTTTTTGTTGGTATTGTTTTACGTTGTCAATTAATGTTATTAGCTGTCAAGGTTGCTAAAAATATATATTTCTAACCGGCTAACCCAGCAGACGTTGTTTTGCCACATATATTATTCCTAGGATTATTTTAGAAGGAAAAATCTGACCAAGTGATAATTTATCAGTTATCGACAGGGGTTGAACATTTTTGAATTATTATGCCATTAAAAAATACGGGTGGAAATTTAGGGTTGTATGTATTTTTTATTGTCACACAAAAAATAAAAAAAATAAAAAATTTTGTCCAAAAAATAAAAAAAATTGGGTGGACCATCCTTATCACATAAAAACAACCTATTCTCAGACCTACTGACTATACACTCAGATGAAACCAAAACGCAACTAACAAAAATCTAATACATATAACAATTTTTCCAGTACTAGAATACGCTCTATGTATACAGGGTGGTCCATTCCGGAAACTTCGGCATATTCTGCAGGTAAAAAAGCTCGTTTATATGTATGCCCTAAAATGCTTAGTTTTCAGGGAGATACAGGGTGTGAAATTTTTATTTCAATTTTTTTTCAAATAATTTTGAGGGTAACGTTAATATTTGGATGGAAGCAAGTCTGGGAGTTTTTGACATGAGAAATTTGATTTTGATGTCAATATAACTCTTATTTGTAGGGGGCGCCATGCATTTACATGTGTTTAACTGTTCTGAAAATTATTAAATTTTCGTCCGAACCTGTATAAAACTACTGAGTGAAAAAATATACATTTCGTGATTCTTTACGTAAAAGTGTCTCTCGCTACGAGCAACCATTCTCAAGATGTTTAGAATGGAAACAGTCCAATACATGTCATTATTGACAAAAAATAAACATGTTGAGTAGATAGTTAGTTATTTGACTGAAAATGATACATTTTAGGAATTTCATTTTTTTAAACAGTTTCTGTTAAACTTTGGCACAAAAACATTTCAAATTAATGATTTCAGTCTAATAACTATTAGACAGTCAACATGCATGTTTAATATTATGTCAATGATGACAGGTATTGATAATTTCGATTCCAAATATCTCTGAGAACCATTACTCGTAACGATTTTTACGAAGATTTTACAAAGATTTTACCATTTTACCTTTTGCAGAAAAAACATCGTAATGTATATTTTTTACTCAGTAGTTTTTACAGGTACGGACAGAAAAGTTATTACTCTGTTTTAAAATATATTTAGGTGGCGCCTTCTACAAGTATAAGAGTCATATTGACATCAATATCAAATTTCTTATGTCAAAAAACTCTCAGACAGCAATTTTTATCCAAATATTGACGTTACTTAGAAAGTATTTGGAAGAAATCGAAAATAAAATGAAATTTCTACACCTCCGAAACTGACATTAGGACCCAAAATCATACAGACTTTTTTACTTATTTTATCTGCAAAATGTGCTGCCGAAGTTTCTAGACCTGATTCGGACCACCCTGTATATCCCATCTTCAGCATAATTTTTATCCTAAAATATGAAAAAAAGAAAATAATTGCTAAAATATAAGTATAAAATAAATTTATATTGAGAGAAAGGCGTATAATTTTAGGGAGTATTACAACGAATAATTTTTCTTTGGAATATTATTTTTCACTTTATATCTAACCGCTGAACATATTTAATTAAACGATGCCTTTTGCAGAGTCGTTTTGCTCTGTTTGCTACGAGAGGGTTGTGGATATAACGCGGCGAAAATTAGAAATTTTCTCGCGAAACATTTACCCCCAGCTCCACGAAATTACTCTTTATAAATTTATGTCCGTCGAGTACAATGAGCTTAGTCAAACGATTTTGAATTTTCAGGCTGGCAAATAAGTTAGGAATAAATTTTCTTTACTTAAAATTTCTTTGAGCATATTTTAGTTATTTATATTAATTTCTGTTAATATTAAATAACCTTTAAAACTAGGAATGCTATCAGAGATAACTATTGTATTTTTAACAGTTATAAGTTTCTATTTAAAAGTAACTGTATAATACAGTGTCGCTGATATATATAGGTATCAGTATTGGGTAAATACAAGGTACCACAAAAGTTAAAAACAAAGTAGTTAATTTAAGTATACAGGGTCGGTCATAAAGTTGTGGCACATCAAAATATACTTTTATTAAATGCAACCCCCCGTATATCATTGTATATTTCATATTTTTTTTAATTCTAAGGAATAATCGTAATACACATAATGTACCTAAATTCAACCATTCCCGAATTATAGAGTTTTGATTTTGAAATGTTAAACGAAAATTTACGCTAATTTCAGACTTGATATAATAGCAATAGTGCTATTATGAAAGCCATAATGACATTCAAATGACAATATTAAATGTGTCACAATGACATTGTCGTAGATTAATATATTTTTATTAAACTGACATAGAGTGTCAAATTCAACGAGTCGTAACCATAGTTTCTCAATATATAACATAGACTAATGTCATGTACCTACTAGAGATAGATTGGACACCGATATAAAACAAATGGGTCCGTCATTTAGAGCCACCTGGTGATCCGGGAGAAGCAATGGAGAGTTTGGCATAACATAATTTTAGCGTTCCGTTACTTATTAACGCTAATTAAAACGGTAACGTTATTCAAGCGCAAAATTATTCCATGTAAAATATAAAATAATAAACTTTTTACTGCCATTTTACTGTTTTATTAGGTCATTAGAAGTGTAACATAATTACAACAAAATTAAAATTATAAATACATACATTTAATACCAACAATAGATCACATAGCGCCTGTTTTTTGATTTAACAACTAAATTATATTATAGTAAAAATATTATAGGCTACTAATTAACTGTTACTAAAAATACTATATTACCAACTATGTACTTACTTATATAGCAGTTAATATTTTTTTATTTGGTTTATAAATTATTATTTTCTAAAATGTCAAATGACTTTAATAAAAAAGTTTAGTATCTAACACGAAAATGATGAACGACTGTAAGTATCAGATACTGGAAACTAATAAAAACACAAACTATAAATACAAATCACTGAACTTTCCGACAAATCAGGAATATCTGGGAATATCTGAATTAATAATTATTTAAATAATGATTTAAAAAATAACTGACGGATCACACCAACATTTTACCAACTAGACAAAAAAGCAGACCATAGACATTAGTTAGCATAAGGCATGTGTCATCTTCATAATATAAATTAAAACCTGTACTTTAATGTCTTTTGCGCCATCTGGCAATGCCGAAGAAACTAAAAATGAAGTTCTATAAAATTACCATTGAGTGTCTAGGGCATGATATATAATTACAATCTAAATTTAAATACGGACCTATAGATTTTTTGTTTCACTATTTGATACCACGAATAATTATAAAATCTTTTGTGACATAAAAATCATAACATACCATTTAACTTTTTGAGAAAATCAGCATTAATAATTTGTAGAAATGTTTGCACCCCGAAGGTCGTCTAATTTTTCCCGTAATTTTTAGGGAGATATCTCGTCCATAAATTAAACGAAAATAATTTAAATCCTTTTGAATCTACTTCGTTAGTAAAATTACCAAATTAGTCAAATTAGTTAGCAGTTGTTAATCACTAACGTAACTTTATCTAATTACAGTTAGGGTTTATCTAAAACTAAATAGACGTGTCCATTTAATTACAATTAAATTGTACCCATTTTAGTTAATTTTTGTTATTTTTACATATTTATTTATTTTTTGCTTCTTTAAAAACTTTGTAATAGAGAAGCTGCTGATATTTTTTCGTCACACTCAATTTTACATAAATCAGAAATTTTGTTTCTAATTTTATTTTATTTTT